ATTTAAGTGGGTGTGAAGTGGTAACTTAGTGTGATTTGAATTATCATCTCCCTGATGACTAATCACGTCATGCATGATGTTTTTATGTGCTCACTGGCCATTTCTCCATCCCCCTTTTTATAGTGTCTGTTCAAAACTTGGCCACTTTTATGGGATTATTTGTCTTTTTATTATTTACTTGTAGGTGCATTTGTTTGAAAAACAGATCTTTTGAGGTATATTTAACATATGATAACCTGGACATGTTTAAACTGTACAGTCTGATAAGGTTTGACATGATACCATGACCACAACCAAGGCAACAAACGTATCCATTACTCTCAAAGTTTGTAGTCCCTCTCTCCTGTCTCTTCTTGCCTCTCTCTTTCTCAAGCAACCATTGATCTACCTTCTGTCACTGTAGGGTAATTTGCATTTTGTAGAGTTTTATATATAAACTAGAGGCCCGGTGCATGAATTCATGCACAGGCGGGGCTGATTGGGTCCCTGATTGGGCTGGTTGGTCACCACAGTGTGCACCAAAGGAACCAGTCATTCCGGTCACTTGGCTTTTATATATATAGATGGAATAATGTAATAAGTGTTTTTTAAAAATCTGGCTTTCACTCAAAATTATTTTGAGATTCATCCATATTGTTGCATGTACCAACAGCTCATTCATTTCTATTGCGGAATAATATTTCATTGCATGGCTATACCACAATGGGTTTATTCATTCATTGGTTAATGGACACTTGGGATGTCTCCCGTTTGGAGCAACTGTGAATAAAGCTGCTATGAATATTTGTGTACAAGCCTTTATACGGACATATATTTCCTTTTATCTTGGGTAAGTACTGAGGAATGATATAGCTGATAGTATAGTAGAGGTATGTTTAACTTTTTAAAAAATGACCAAACTCTTTTACCAAGTGGGTGTACCATTTTACATTCCCACCAGCAGTGTAAGAGAGTTACAGTTGTTCCACATTTTTGTCAATACTTGGTATAGTCAGGCTTTTTAATTGTAGCCATTCTAATAGGCGTGTAGTATAACCTCATTATGGTTTCAGTCTGGATTTCCTTGACTAGTGATGTTGAGCATATTTTCATATCCTCATTAGCTATCTTTAGTGAAGTGTCTGCTTAAACATTTTGCCGATTTTATTATTATTGAGCTGCTTGTCTTATTAAGTTGTAAGAACTATTTATATGTTCTTGATACAAGTGTTTTTTCAGGTGTATGCTTTGCAAATACTTTCTCCCAGCTGGTGGCATGTCTTTTTATTCTCTTAGCAGTGTCTTTTGAAGAACAGAACTTCTAAGTTTTGATGAAGCTAAATTTATCAAGCTGTTCTTTTATGGATTATATTTTTGGTGTCATACCTAAGACATCTTTGTCTAGTTCAAGGTCACAGGATTTTCTTTGCTTTTAGAAGTTTTATGGTTTTAGGCTTTATATTTATTTAGATTTCTGATCAATTTTGAGTCCATTTTTGTATGTAGTGCGAGATATGGGTCAAAGTTCATTTTTGTGCATGTCCAGTTTTTCCAGCATCATTTGTTGAGAAGACTACCATTCTCCACGGTACTGTTCTGTGCCTTTGTCAATGATCAGCTGTTCATAAATGTACGGATTTAGGGCTCTATGCTGTTCTGTTGATGTATATATTGTCTATCTTTTCACCAATAGCATGCAGTTTTTATTACTGTAGTTTTAGAATGATTGTTGAAATCAATTTGTGTAAGTTCTACAACTTTTGCTATTTCAGTGTTGTTTTAACCAGTTTAGGTTTTCTGCATTCCCATATAAATTTTAGAATCATCTTAGTTTCCAGAAAAAATGTCTGATGGGATTTTGAGTGGGACTGGATTAAATTCTGTAGGTCAATTTGGGGAAAATTGACATCTTAACAACATTAAGTCTTTTGACCCAGGAATGAGGCCTCTCTCTCTCCATTTCTTTTGTCTTTTAATTTCTCTCAGCAATGTTTTGTAGTTTTCAATGTACAAGTCTTTCATATCTTTTGTTAGATCTATTCCTAGGTGTTGCATATTTTGATGCTATTGTGAGTGGTATTGTTTTGAAATTTTTTTAATATCTAGAATTGTTCATTTCTAGTATATAGAGATGCAATTGATTTTTGCATATGGAACTTAAGTCCTGCAACCTGCGAAACTCACATATTAGTTATAGGAACTGTTCTGTAGATTCCCATGTATTTTCTACATAGATAATCCTGTCATTTGTGAATAAAGACAGTTTACTTCTTCCTTTCCGATCTGCATGATGTTTCTTTCCTTTGCCTAATTTCTCAGGCTTGAACCTCCAGTAAAGTGTTGAATACAAAGTGAACGAGTGGACATCCTTGTCTTGTTTTGATTTGGGGGGTGGGGAGGGGAACTCAGCCTTTCACCGCTAAGGATGATGTTAGCTGTAGGTTTTTTTTCTATAACACATATATTTTTTTCTTTATTGATTAAGGTATTACATATGTGTCCTTATCCCCCATTGCTCCCCCCACTCCCATTCATACTCTCATCCCCCCATGTCTATATGCATTGGTTATGCTTATATACATGCATACCAGTCCTTTGGTTGATTTCTCCTCCTTACCCCCTCCCTCCCCTAGCTGTAGGTTTTTTATAGATGTCTTTTATCAGGTTGAGGAAGTTCCTTTCTATTCCTAGTTTTCTGTGATTTAAAAAAAATCAGGAATGGATGTCATAGCCTGCTTTTTCTACATCTATTGAGAAGATTGCTACTGTATGAGTGTGTCCCTCCCCAAAATTCATATGTTGAAGTTCTAACCCCCAAGGCATTAGAAGGTGGGATCTTTGGGAAGTAATGAGGTCTCAGGGGGATTAATGCCCTTATAAAGAGGCTCCAGAGATCCCTTATCATGTGAGGACATGCACAGAAAAGCACTGGCTATGAACCAAGAAGCGACCCCTCACCAGAACTCAACCATACTGGCACTTTGATCTTGAACTTCCAGCCTCCAGAACTGAGGAATCAGTTTCTGTTCTTTATAAGCCACCCAGTCGGTGATATTTTGTTATACTGGCACAAATGGACTAAGAGATTAGAGGGTTTTTAGTTTTTAGTTTGTTAATATGCTGAATTACATCGATAAAATTTCAAATGTTTAAATGAAACTGGCATTCTCATGGTAAACTACTTAGTCATGTTATGCTATCATTTTTGTATCTTGTTGAACTCAATTGGCTAAAATTTAGTTTAGAATTTTTTTGCATGGATGTTCATGGAGCATATAGGTCTAGACTTTTCTTGTCATATATTTTTTGTATAGAGTCGATATAAAGGTAACGCTGACCTCATTGACTGAGTTGGAAGTAGTCTTTCCTCCTCATTTTTCTGGAAGAGTTTGTATAGTGTTGGCATTATTTCTTCCTCAAACAATTGGTAGAATTTGAGTTTCCTGTCTGCATATTTGTTCATGTGTGAGGTCGGGCTAAAGAGGATGCCATGTTGGGTGCCAAAAACCCGGAAACCCAGAGGGCAGAGTGCAGGATGACCAGGGCAGAGGGAAAGCAAGAGGGAATATCCTGAAGAGGGAGAACCACAAACAGGGAACCTATGTTTGGCATATACATTCTGTCAAAATCTCTGGGAGCCCTGTGTTGGATATGCACTCCAAGAAAAGAGCTGAGCAGAGATTTCAGTTGGTGCCTAATATAGGGGAGACTGAATCTGGAGTCTGAGTTTAGCTAACTGCCTGCTAGTCAGAAACACATAGAATTCATAAACGTGTGTGTACCCAATAGCAGAATTTCAAGCTATCTCACACATTTTCAGGAAATAGGGGAGCAGGGAACAATTCCCAATTCATTTTTCGAAGCTAGGATAAACCTGGAAATAAATCTTTTTTTTTATTGCTTAAAGTATTACAAAGAATATTACTTATGTCTCTCTTTTTTTTCCTCCCCGCCCTTGACAATCCCCTGGCCTCCCCAACCCTCCAGTGTCTTTCTTGAACAACTCCACCAATGATCTCTATTGACAACACAAAAAAGGTAGTTTAGCATAGACCTGGAAATAAATCTTGATTTAAAAAGTGAAGGTTAAGAAAAAAAGAGAAAATTACAGGAAAATATCCCTCATGAACAGTCAGCAAAAATCTTTACCTATCAGCCAGTCAAATCCAGCAACGTACGGTAAGGAAAGGTTTTCTTTTGCCTATTCACAGGTGCAGGGCACAGATGTTCAGTGACTTGTATGGCTCCTGTGTTGGGCTCACACAAGCCCACAGACCTTCCTCTGCAATGGCTGCCTGCCTGGTTAAGAGCTGGCCTCACAGTGTAAAGAGGTGTGATGAGGATGCTGGCATGGGAACAGCTAGCCTGCCTCTCTTGTGGAGATTCCAGGCTTAATGAGGGCAGATTGTGACTGCAGAGGGGGCATTGGGGACCTGTTCTTAGGTTCCTCTGGCCCCTGTCTCCTGGTTTTCAGCCCCCACTGCACCCCCATATTTGCTGCAGTTATTGATGGAGGCCATTTTGTGGCTGGAGGACCAATCAATGTAGGCTCCAGGCCTTGCCTCATGAATGCCTCACCAAGCGCACCCCCATTGCCAGGGCAACACTGACGCCTCCTCACGTGCTCTCCGGATCCAGTCATTTGCCCTGCACCCAGACGCAGAGATCTGTCTGCCTCATCTACCCGGGGCTTCTAGAAGCCCCGGGAAGCCCACCTGGCCTTAACTCCGAAGGAGCTACCCGAGAGACCCCTGGACTGCGCAGCCCTAGGCCACGATCTTCTGACTCTCCGGCTTCAGGGCTCTGCGGTGGCATCCGCAGTGGGCTCCGCAGCCCGCAGGCGGTACCCCCCACCCCCTGCC